CATGGCTGAAGGGGTGGAAGAGCTCTCTTGGGTTTATTGTATAAGAGTACTAGTCCCATGCACCTCCCAATCACCTTGAGGAGGTCCCACCTTTTAGTACCATCACCTTGGAGATTAGGATCCCAAAATAAGAATTTTAAGGGGGCACAAACGTTCAGACCATAACACTGGGTTCCTCCAATGTATAGTTACTTCCCTCCTCGCTTTCCGTACTGTACTTTTTAGGAAGAAGTCACTGTGTGTAGCCTACATAAAAGGGGTAGAGATTGAAATTTTACCTCCTAGACAGGAAGCTTCACTTGATTTTATTTTCATGAACTTATTATCCAAGGATATTGCTTCTGCTGAATCATGCTGGTATAAAAATCTTGTCCTAGAGATGTGTGTTCATACTAATTGAACAATTGTCCTACTGTAATCTTTCAATGTGTACTTACCTACTAATGTATACATTTTTTCTTTTCTTCATGGGATAAACAGTATAATAAATGCCTTTGGATTAAAGATAACAAATACGGCCATTGAATTAAATAACGAAATTAGAAGAATTTATTTACTGGGCTTGGCTTCAAATTTGTTGTAATAGTTAATTCCCAGAGTTCTTTCAGTTCCAGGGAGAGGTGGAATGGGATTTTACACATCTTTTTTTTTTTTTTTCTTTTAAGAATATGAAGAATTTTGTGATAAAAGAAAATAGAAAAGCGATGCAATTTTTTATGAGTAGTGTTCTTAACATACTTCATTTACTTGTTAAACATGCTATTTATTATATCCAAAACAATGAATGAAAGCATGACATCTTACTATCAACAAAAAATAATATTTAGATATATTTTGGGGGTGATTCAATGATGCAGATTGCTACAGTAGTAACATTGGAGTTTGATTTTGAGAATTAAAAAGACTATGCACCAAACCATGTGCTATTTAAAAATAAATGTGGGAAGCAGATATATCTTTCTACAATATAATTATATTCTATGTTTATTTATCACATCTTTTTTTTTTTTTTTTTTTTTGAGACGGAGTCTTGCTCTGTAGCCCAGGCTGGAGTGCAGTGGCCGGATCTCAGCTCACTGCAAGCTCCGCCTCCCGGGTTTACGCCATTCTCCTGCCTCAGCCTCCCCAGTAGCTGGGACTACAGGCGCCCGCCACCTTGCCCGGCTAGTTTTTTGTATTTTTAGTAGAGACGGGGTTTCACCGTGTTAGCCAGTGTGGTCTCGACCTCCTGACCTCGCGATCCGCCCATCTCGGCCTCCCAAAGTGCTGGGATTACAGGCTTGAGCCACGGCGCCCGGACCTATTTATCACATCTTAACAGAAATATTTTTGGGGGAGTTTAAGTGGAAACAAATTGATAGCAGATATTAAATAAGAAGATATTTTCTAGAATCTATATATTTGTTAAGATCTTTTTAAATATGTATTTATATTTTGAATTGACAATTTTCCAGCAACCTGAGTTTGAATTATCGTCTTATACCTAGCCATCTTTCATGTATCGGGCAATGCTTTCTTCATGGAATTTTATATATTGGGCAACACTTTCTCACTGCACATGTCTCCAAAAGATGAGTTAAATATTATGGAGTAAGTCTGAAAGAAAAAGTATTTTCTTTTCCTAGTATTTCAGACCATTCTATCCATCAAGTTGACATATAACTATTTAATGTAAAAGAAAAATCTAAAGAACAAAATTCTAAGCTTTATAATTTTTATTCTTATTCCTCTATTCTTTAGAGTTTTAAGAAATGTATTCTTAATAAATTTACACACCTCTGTAGCATGCATTGCTGTGTGACACAGAATACATATTTTATGGATAATACAGTACACTGTATATACATATATGAAATGTTATGCAACTATGAAATATATCGGTGACCCTGTTGTCAAAGGAATCCAGAAAAATTATTTTTCAGTAGCATGTACCAATTTATGCCATAAAAACATTAAAGGAAATTAAGTAACACATGACTTAATGTTTGTGTAGATAAGTAAATAAATAGATAAATTTAATAAAAAAAAAAAAAAAAAGAAGTGATGCTGTAAGAAATATTGGGCCTTAAAGAAGTTTGGAAGTTTTGCAATGATGTTGAAATGTATAGAACCCAGAATATTTTACTAAGAAGATTATCTGGATTTTATTTTATTTTTTGAGAGACAACAAAAACTGTTCTATGATGGTGGCTTCTATTTAACTGATTAAAACTTTTATTGAAAGCCTAGGACTCTGTTCTACATGTTGAGACCACCGAGACAAGTGAGAGTTGAAGCCTGTCCTCTGGGAATTCTGTGTTATAAATTTCATTATGACAGTTTGTAGTCACTCAATAAATTTTTCTTGCATTTTCACCAAAATAGAGTTACTGCATTTTTATTGCACAGATTATCATGTTATGAAATATTGTAAGTCTTTTGAAAAATTTCTGAGCCACTTTGACCATCTCCTGTTGGAACACAAACTTATTCATTAGATTAACTCAACAAACACCTAAAATTTTGTTTAAAAAGTGAATGCTCATGTCTATGGTCCTGAGCTAGGAACTAGAGGACACTAAAAGGCATAAAATACAGCCCTTCTTTTCAAGGAACTTTCTATCACATTAGGCACAAGCTAGATATTTATCTGAAAGTATCATCTTCTGGGCTCCAAGTCCAAGTTAGTAACTTTGATTTAATTATTTAATAAGCAGTTTTTATTCACTGATAAAGCCACAAATATAGTTGTATTTTTGAATAGCATCTGGAAACAGTAATACAAATAACAATAACTATAATTATAATTTATAAGTAAAATTCAGGTGATGGAGCATAATATAATAGAAAGAATATCAACTTTGGAGTCAGACAGACCTGAGTTTGATATAGGTCTGTATCATTTATTAGCTATGACCATGACCTAGTTTCTTAAACTTTCTGAGACTTAGTTTTGTAATTGTAGCACGTAGATAAATTCTTTCAGTGTGGCTTGGAGGATTTAACATAAAATAGAGCTCTTTGCACATGCCTGGCAGAGTGTAGGTATGGAAAACTGCTAGGTATTCATCAGTGTTAGAATACTGAGACTTAGGCAATGCTTTACTGTTTTTTAAAATGAATTGACCTTCATTATCCTATTTAAACCTCACACCAAATTTATCAATTCACTCATTCAGATAAAGAAGCCAGGAAGCCCAGTGACCAATGGAAATTTGACACATGTGGATTTAAATCCATGTTTTCTAGGTCTAGGACCTGCCCTCTCCCTAAATGATTAGGAATTGTGAGAATTTGATTTAGCTTTGTTCACACCAAAATCTACCTGCCTAGTTTTAGACTAGATATGTAACTTCCTCATCTATGCATAGAGTGTTGTACTAATCCATGCTCCCAATTCTTTCAGTTCTATGTATACATACATTGAGAGGCAGCATAGTGTAGCTGTTAAAATTATGGGTATTGGGTATAAACTCTTGGGTTCAAATCTTGACTCTGCCATTTGTTGGCTCTGTAACTTTGGGAGAGTTACCAAATCACTTTAAGTCTCATTTTATTCATCACTATGGGTTAATAAGTAGTAAAACTTAAGGGCATTTTGATAAGGAATAGATGAATTAAACTATGCAAAGTAGTTAGCATGAAATCTGATATACAGTAAGCATTATGTAAATATTTGCTGTAATTATCACCCTAAAATTGTAACAGCAAGTTCAATGACTTCAAGTGCACTATTTTAATGCTTCAAGTCATAGAGTAGATTTGCTTAAACAATTATGTGGAAGCTTCCACAACTAGCTGAGCTCATGGGCCCTATTTTATTGCCACCCTTGTGTGACAGACTCAACACGCTAGCTCTGTTCCAAAGAACAGTTACTGGTAGACATGGTGCCACATATACCTGGAAGCAGTGGTTACTTGTCCAGTAATATGTACATATGTGTGTGTATGTATCAATATATAGTCCACACTGAACTTTCTCCTGGTAACCAACTTGACCTCATGAATCTATTTTTCTAAGTTTTTGAAGTTGATTAGGATCCTTGTCACTGTGACTATAGGGACCAATGATTCTAATGTAGAGATTTGCTGAAGCATCAAAAACTATGGCAAAAATTTCTTTGCAGAAGAAATATTTAAGCATTTACATTCTAAGCGTATGGTGTGCACTTAAAATCATTTTGATGAGATGAATTATTAAAAATATTCTACATTCTCTTTATAAATAAACCCAAGTGTTTAAAAATTATTTCAAGAATAAAACAGTGTTCATTAAAATCTTTAAAACATATCACATTCATATTAGACCTCACTGAAAAGTAATTCCAATTATTGAATTTAAAAATATGGGAACCAATAAGACAATGGAGCCAACATAAAGTTACAGGTAAATATTTGGAAAATCGCTTAAAAGTGTAAAAGATTTAACTTTCATATCATGAACTTTTAGAACATATTGAAAAATATTCATGCCCAAATTGTTGTTAAATATCACGATGTTTACTAATTTAAGTACAAAGTTTGTATATGATTTCCATTCTTTCAGTTTTGTTTGGTAAGAGTTATCTCTTAATTTATCTTAAGAATTTTTAGACTGGGCACAGTAGCTCACATCTGTAATCCCAGCACTTTGGGAGGCTGAGGCAGGAGGATTGCTTGAGCCCATGAGTTTGAGACCACGCTGGGTAATATAGAGAGACCTCATCTCTATCAAAAATTAAAAAAAAAAAATTAACTGGGCATGGTGGTATGTGTCTGTAGTCCCAGCTACTGGGGTGACTGAGGTGGGAGGATCACTTGAGCCCAGGAGGTCGAGGCTGCTGTGAGCTGTGATTGCATCATCGTACTCTAGCCTGGGTGACAGAGTGAGACCTTGTCTAAAACAAAACAAAACAAAAAAGAATTTTAGAAGAGATATAGAAACAGCTGACATTGTTCTAAGAAACTGCTAGCACAGTGCAAAAGAAATATGCTTTCATTCCATTTTTTTTCTTCTGTATTCACTCTTTCTTTTTTGCTAGGTGGCATGCATGCAGTGGTTTCATGGAGACCATACAATGCTTGAGATGATTGAGAAAAAGCGTTGCTTGTGCAAGGAAATAAAGGCTAGACAGAAAACGGAAAAGGGCCTTTGCAAACAGGATAGCATGCCTATCTTGCCCAGCTGGAAGAAGAATGCAGGTGCCAAGAAGTACAGCCCTCCACCCTATTCTAAACAGCAAACGGTGTTCTGGGATACTGCCATATGAGTGTGCGCAGGATGGTGTGAGCTCCACATTTCTTAATATGAAGAGGGAGGTCGACTCGGTCCTATGACAATGAACTGTTACATATCTTTTCTGTGGGAGTGGAATGCCATGGGAAGCTGTGCCTATTTGTGGCAAGTTCAAGATAAAATGCATATGCCCTTGCAATGAAGGCGCACTTATTTATCCCGGATTATTTTGAATCCAGAAGATATTAAAATGTAAATATTTTACTAGTTTATGGGTGACACCTGAAATAATACACATTATACGTATATAAATTACAGAAATATCAAGAGTTTACTATATGATATCATTTCGGTATTAACTGGTTTGTTATCTCTTTTATATGTAATCCCTTGATGCCTTTTATTATTAATTTTTGCATTTAAAATGGTATTTTTTTTCCCTTGCCCACATCTGGTTTCTGTACAAGAGCTCACAACTATAAATCATGTTCAATCACATAATATATGATCTGGTGCTAGTAACATAGAAGTTGAATACCATATTTGTTAAGAGCATCTGTGCTTTTTAAGTTTCAAGGGTTTGACAGGAAATGAATGCAAACGTGATGCTTAATTTGGACGTCCAAGTTACATTGACAACAATATTTTTGCTACATTGGCTTTATAAGAATTTCTCTTTAGTATCCTCTGGCAATGGTTAGACTAACCATTAGTCTGACTTAGTGATAACTAAGCAATGGTTAGTCAGCCTCCAGAGAAAGTTACTAGGGTATATTGGACATCCCAGCAGAAAACATTTCCTTCAGAAATGACTTTAGGGACATGTGTCCTTGCATCATTGATCTGATGGGAGGAGACCAGGGTTCACTGTGACAATGGAAGGAACAAGGAATTAATAGCTCAAGAGCATGACTGCTTTCAAGAAAGTGGGACCAGTGGCATTATAGCCACCTTAATCACTATATTTAAGTAACTTTTCATGTGTGCGCTTGTTTCCCCAAGAAAAATGAGAAATAAACATTCAACTAGACCAGTTTACATATTTTAATGCACTAAATGCCAATCTTTCTAAAAGTTTAGCTCCATTAATAAAATATGTATTTCTTGTTAATTTTTTCAAACTGGTTATCACCACATTTCTGGGTCATAATCTTCTGTATGTGATCATCACACCCATTCTCACTGATTATGACACCATGACCAAAGAATTATGGCCATTTTTAATTTTATTTTGTTTCAAGAAAGAAACAGGAAATGCAGGGGATGAGGGATGGGGCGGATTCAATTTTATGTGGTGGTGAAATTTAAGTTAAAAAAATCATATATATCTTTTAAGAAGAACTTGTTAGTTGAATATAAATATTGCCACGAATGAATAAAAAAGAAACTATCGCATATATTTTGTATATTTAAATTACTATTTATGCCTCCTAAAATTGATAGTATGTGGTTCTTTGTTAACAATCAATTTAGTATTATATTTCTGAGAGAAAAGGTGTGTTTTTGAAGTTATTGTTATAGCAGTTTTTCTTGTAAGGGTATTGACAGCAATAGTTCAGTGCTGCTCAATAAAACCAAATATAACAGGAGTTAGAGAATTTTTGTAATCTATATTGCTACAAACCTAGTGATGCTTTATCAGTAATAGTTTCTTTCAAAAGCCTTTTCAATGTTATAACATGATTTTCTAATATTTTATAATTAATGTGTATTTTGATGTCCAATTCGAATTCTGAAAGAATAAGGAAAAAGGTAAGTGGGAGCAGTGTACGGTTGGTGTGTCTGTGTGTGTGCGTGTGTGTGTGTGTGAGTGTGTGTGTACACGAAAGAATACTCAGTGGGAGAACTGTATACAGAAAATGCTTACTGAAGTTGCAGGTTCTGCTTGTGTAATTGAGGTGGTAGAAAACCGGGATCACAAATGCAGGAAATTACAAAGGGATCTTAAGCAGCTTAAATAAAACCCGCCAGCATGTTTCACCAGCTATAGATTATGTTTCAAGCCCAACAAGCTATGGAGCACAAATCTAAGGGTGATGAAAATGTGTTTAGATAAAATCAGAATGGAAATAAAATGTGTTTATGACCCCAGTTGTTATCCTGATTTAAGTTATTATGACCACATATACTCAAGCCTATCAGTCAGATACAAGATACTAATTCTCAGCATTTCTGTGAAACGTACATATTCAGGCTCAGTATGGTGATGATTAACCCTCCCTTAACATTTGTATTTAGGGTACATCTTTCTGTGGGGAGATGCAAATGTGTTTTTCAGATGCCTGTCTTTCCCATATCACTCTGATTTAGGCAGAAGGTTTATTTAATGTTGGCCATTTGTCAAGAAGGAAACAAAAGTACTGACATGATCTGTGTTGGATTAAACCATTCCCATTTGTTCTATCAAACTCATGCTAGGACTAGGTTTCAGGCACTCCTTTTTCAAATGCATTATTTTCTGAGGCGGTAACTTGTTTGAAAATTTGACTTTAGGCAACCATTTTCATTTATTTCCGCAAATCTCTACTTAAGTGGAAAGCGCCTGAAAGATCTGGAAAAGTGGCTTCACTGAGATTTAACTCAAGAACTGTTATTCTGTGCCTATACAATTGTCTGTTGTGGCAATGATCATTCCATAATCAATTTCCTTTTTGTATAGTGTTTCTCTAAATGGAGAAAAGGAGGTCATTAGTATATAGAGAAAAATAATTAGACTCTCTGGCAGTAATCAACCAGGATACTTCAGTATATCAATTTGGTCAGAAGATAGCCTACAGATAGCCAGAACACTATGCTATGATGAAGCTCATATTTCTAGCAGTGCCAAAGAACAAATCATCTCATGGCATGGTTATCAGGTTGAAAGAGCTCATACTTACAAAAAATGGTCCTCTCACAGCAAATTTCCTAGAAACAGAATTTTATTGGATGTCACAAGATGCTTTTACATATGAAACACTCCTTAGCAGAGAAGATATAAATTTCTTTAGAATTGATGAAAGGAAAATTAAAAAATTTGCATTTTTTTCGATCGCAGATGCCAGCATCCTCTGAGGTATAAGAGTAATCTTTTACATAAACAGCGCCCGCATCTCTCCCATGTTTATGCTACTGAAGCAAGCTTGGCATCAAATGTGATGGATTTGTGTAAATGAAGGTTAATATCCACCCATGTAAAATAATTAGGAAAGTAAAACATCTGGAGATTAAAATTTGTAGTTTTAAAGTATTATATATTCAAACACATGCCAATTGTCTGTAGACAACTAGATACAACTTTACTTTCCAAAGTAGTGACAAAATTGTCTTTGAATGCTTCTAGAGAATAAAAGAAGGTTTTTATTACTACATTTTGTTGCAGGTCTTGCCTATACATGGAATTTAGTTTGATTCTTTTGAGCAAATTTAGTGACTACGTCAATAAAACTAAACAAAACTATTGGGTTATTGTTTTAACTAATTAAATAAGACATCAACACAATGCACATACAAATGCAATTTTAATATCACTTCCATATTAAGACAAGTCAGTTTGCTAAAGTAGAAAAGAGCTTGTAAAATAACCACACTCACATGTGAAATTGAGAAACGATTCCTATGATATAAGCAGTAAGTAATCAGAGATAAGAGGTCATTCACACTTGCAAATAAATAGAAGTAGAATAGATAGCAATTCACAATTCACTGTGTCCCAAACTTAAGTGGAAATAAAAGAAAAATGGTACCTGTAGCATTTAACATTATGTCGCTACATCCTCCATGTATGCAAAATAGACAGCTAATTGTAGAATGTGGACAATTTGTTATTAATCCATTATTGAGCAACTTATGTATCAGGCATTAAAAAATTCTAAAGCACTGGGTGTTAAACATTGAAAAAGATGTCGTCCCACCCTTCAAGGAGCTTAATTATGCAATCATCAATATTTTCAAAATAAAGCCAATTGTTTTTAAGAAGATATACAATTGTGTTTACACAATTCTCTTTTTTTTTCAGATCAAGTGTATAGTCAAGGTAAAATTCTAAACATACTAAACTTAATGTCTAAGTATAGAATATGTTTGTATGTAAGCCTCGATGTGTGCATATATAATATGTACTGCTGTCTATGTAAATCATTAAAAGGATAACACATTTTGCCATATTGGACTTGAACATTATGACTTGGGGTTTGGATGATTTAAAACTCTTTGATATTTGGGTCAATTACATTGCAGCAAAATGTGTGTAATATGGAAAAAATATCTGATTACATTTCCCTTTAAATATTATGAAATTTCAAATTTAAGGGGAATTTTTTTTAAAGAAATGCTGTTGGATTTATCTCAACCAAACATATGTGAAAATTCTTTAGAAGTGTTCAATTGTTCCCAAATATAACTGGGTTTGCCCACCCTAAAAGCATCTACATTTACACATGTATACACCCACGTACAGTATACATACTGTATATAATATATATGAAAATGTTTAGTATGCACTTCTTTTGATTGGAACTCCTTAAGTTAACCTTTATAGTGTAGCAACTTGTGTAAAGTGCACTGTGATTATAAAAAGCAAAGCACAGTAAAGTCACAGGTCTTGTTATCTTGCACTAAAAATGTGTTTACGTATTTAGCAGTTGTATGTTTACTTTCTTGCTCTTTCAGACAATTGAAACAAATAGCTATGAGAAGATGATATAAAATAATATGTTTTTTAGTGGATAATGGCACTACATTTTTAAAAGACAGGGTTTTTAAAGAAAACCATTTAACATCCATTCCAACATAACATGTTTACCATATCTAAAAATTTGAATGTCATATTGCATTTTTCATAATTCATTAGAAATGTCAGGTATGTGCCTGAAAAATTGTGCAAATAAGCATTAGATAACAGATTTCTCTACTCATGTGTTATTAGCCATTTCTATATACATAATAATATAAACACTGATGTTTTAATGTCTCTTAATTTTTGTACTTGATTTTTTTAGGTAACATGTAATTATAAATGTACTTTGATACTACTGAAGTAACCAGATGTTGTTTGAAAATAAATTGTTTTCTTTAGTGCATTGACAATATTTTACAATACTTTTTGTGCTTATTTATTTGTGCTCCCGTGTAATTCTAATAAAAGCAATAGTTTAAATTAGTTGACTTTGTCGTTACTGGTATTTTTTAATCAAGAAACAAAATAATAACTTTTTCAAAGAAAAATACAACATTTTTCAGCTTCTGCAGTTGACCGTGAGATTGCATGTATTGTAGAAGACTAATGCTGGTGAGTATTGAGGGTCTAGACTTTCTAATTTGTCATGTGACCCCCAGTTGTCCTTAATCACTACTTGGCTTCTCCCTCAAGGTGACCCATTAAGTAAGAGGAACATTGACACTTCTCTTTCTTCCATATCTACCTAATTCCAGTTAAATGACTCACAGTGCATTGAAGGTGTGCTGGTGGCATGAAAGAGAAAATTCTGGCAGTCCTAGACCTGTGTATGTAGGCAAGATATTTATTGGAGGGGTACTACTTAGCACATTCATTTATTCAGTCATACTTTTAGAGTTAACCTGGCTTAAATAAGGAGCAAGTCAGTATGTATAGTGTGGCTAGGATATCAATATCTAAAATATCATTGAGCATGGTAAATATATGACAAGATTCTGGAGCTCAGTTTACAAAAAATGCTCATAAAATAATGCAGAGACTTCTAATAATTTCTAATGGCTACTTCATCAACCACTTACATACTCTTATATCCAATCTCAACATAATTAATTATAATTTCATAATTCCTCACCAATTATTTCCATGTTCATTTCATAAAAAGAAATAAATTTATTCTCATTGTTTGGTCCCACCCTTCCAGCTACTCAAATGCTCGGTGTGCTACTCTACGTTTTGGTTGAACAAGAACTAACCTATCACCACCCCACCACCATCAACAGTCTAACCTTCCATCCATCTCAGGCCATGAAAAAAAGCTCCCCAATATTTGAAATTATTGGTCTTTTCCATTCTCCCAACCTCCATTACAACTCGTTTTATTCCAGCTCTGTGATCTCAGATTCTAATTAAATTATGTTGACACAATGATGTGAATGACTGATAAAACAATGTTCATCCTATAGTGATTTGTATTTGAGAAGATTCTTATTAACATGCCTGAGTGAATATCTATTAGAATGTCAGGCAATATGACAAACCAGGAGATCAGAAGAACATCACTTTAGAGAAAATTTTGCATAACATCACCTCACCTCATGCCTTGTAGAGTGGAGGTTCTCTCAAATCTTGCTGTGCAAAAATAAAAATAAAAATAAATATAAAAAATAAAAATAAATCACTTGGTCAGTTCTTAAAAACGCCCAATGTCCAGAAGGCTGCCTGGAGCAGTACACTGGTGCTGGTAGTTGTTAAAAAATCTACTAGATGAGTCCAATATGGAATCAAATTTGAGTATTAAAGCAGTTCTTCTCAAACTTGAATGTACATTGTTACCACCTGAGGATCTTGTTGGCATACAGATTCTGATTTAGAAAAGTTTGAGAGTAGGAATCTCTAGCAAGATCTCAGGAGATGCTGATGCTGCCTGTCCATAGATCACCCTTTGAGCAGCAACTCCTTGGCAACTCACTTCTCTGCCTATACTTAGGGAGCCTTTGGTAGCCATTGCCTAAAGCACTGCCACTCAAAGCCTAATTCAGAGACCAACAGCATAGCATTATCTTGGGACTTGTTAGAATGGAAAACCTTACCTTTATCTTTGATAGATCTTTAGGGCTGAGGCTCATGGATCCTGTTTCAGCAAGCCATATAGGTGATTCTTATGCCCAGCAAAATTTGAGTTGCATTGTCTTAGACCAATGTGGCTTTCAATCATGGCAACACATTACATTCTTGGGAGATTTTTTTTTTAATGCCGATGCCTGGGCCCCTCTCTCAGAGATTATGATTTTATTAGTCTGGGGTTAGGGCTAGACAACTTTTTCTTCTTTTTCTCCTCCACCTTTTTCTCTTTTCTTCTTTCTTTCCCAGAAACCCCTAGGGGATTAGAATATGAAGCTGGTACTGAGAAAGCTATATTAGAGAATCAATTCTGTCCCATACATTGGAAATTGCATCATTTCCCCCAGAAATAAACATTTCATCCACAGGGCCAAACACAAGAATGTACCACTTCATAACCCTCCTCATCAAAATGACTTTCAGGTACTTCAGGGTAAAGAGTGGTGTGAAAAAAAAGTCCCAGCTTTTGGTTAAATTAGCTCCTTGTGATTGGTGCCCATCGCTCATTTTAGGAGGCCAATATTTTTCATGAGAGCAGGCTTATATTTAAATTATTCTAAATGTTGCTTAGAAATTAGTGTCAAGTGCTCTGAATTGTTGATAACAGTATTAGGATTGTGTCATGTTTTTCCCCAGTTGGAATTAATGTACACTCCTCAAACACCCCCACTACCTTGATACACAGTATTGTGCTAGGGTCTTCATTACAATGCCATCTGTCTTATAATAGTTATTTCTTTGGGAATTTATCCTCTCTGCTTACATGGTGAGTTCCAGAAAGAGAAGCTACATTTGTTTGCTATAAATCTTGTATTCTACAAAGTGCCTGGCCAATGGCTCTGTACATAAAACTATTAGAAAATGTTCGTTTATTTCATTTATGTATTTATTCAACAAATACTAACTGAAGTCCACCTGTATACCAAGCACTGTTCTGGGCATAACAGGCCAAACTCAGTAGACTTGTAAAGCTTTGATTCGAATTGATTTATATATTCTTTTGAGATTGTATTTTCTGCTCTTCTCTCTCATTATATGAAACAAATATTGGGTGAGACCCTGGGACACTTTATATGCCAGAATTGTTAAACATACATGTCATACATGTGAGTATTATTTAGGGAGTTTTATATCTACATATTTATTTAAACCCTGTTTTTTATCCATATAAAGCAATAGTAATTAATGTGCAAATATAGCAAGGTGACACACATTAGAAATGTGTGAGAATTTTAACAAGAATGAAACACAGTCGGAGCATGAGATAAAACCAATCAAGAATAATTTTAGTTCACAAAATGCATACAATGATACCCTAAGTATCACTATTGATGGGTTTATAATTCATTATAATAGTAAGACTAACAATAACAATAGTAATGACCACTACAATTTATTTCTTACTTTATGCAAAACACTGAACTAAGTTTTTAAGACATCTTATTCAATTCTTACCTCAACCCTATGAATATGTTCATTTCCTGGGTAAAGATGCTGAAATTTAGAAAACTTTCCCAAGGTAATGCACAATAGTAATTGATTGTGGAAATTCAAACCAGGCTTATCTGAATTGAAAACACAGCCAATGCAACATAGACTCTTATTTAAATTAATTTTTATTAGTTTGCTATTCATCATATACAGATACTCAAAGACATTTTAATCACTATGCAGTTCCACGTAGCCTGAATGGAAGTGACCCATCTAACCTAGGTATATATACTCATCACTAAAAAAGCAGTATTTTTCTCTACAATACAATGAACTTCATAGGTAGTACAGATCAGTGTAGGGGACGTTATGCTTGCTAAAATCTTTGTCACTAATAATTTCTTATCGATCTTCTAGCTGGTTTCAATGAGGAACAAATCAATTTGCTAGGGTCAAACAGTAAGTTGTCTTTCAAATTGATTCTGCTTGTTGATTTTACTTAGGGTAACTATTGTTGCCTTCTGGAGGTATTTTGTTTTAAAGAATTCATTAATCTAAAATTTTGTCTTTCTTTGTGAATATACCATATGATATCACATTTATTAAGGAAAGGGAAAAAAGAGAGAGAGAGAGACTTGGTAGTAAGTTAAAATGTCCCATCCCACTGGGCACTTGTGCCTCCATACTCTAACAATATTTTCTCACAAGGGTCCTTGAAAGGTGTTACTCATAACACTTCAATATAAAAAAATTCACACTTTTTAATTTTAATAGTTAAGAAATTTTTTCTTGAATATAAAGCTAACGTATTAAACTACTTTATTTCATTCACTGAATAAATATCTCTTGAATGCTTGTTATAATACCAGCCATGGTGACCGGTGATCAGGCTATGGTCATGAATAAAAGATGGCAACCCCACTTATCTTTGAGCTTATATAATGGATATAATTATTTATATCAATGTTGAAGTTGGTAGCATCAACTTAACCCAACCTTCACCTTAAGAACTATAAGGTATGATGTTCAAGTGCTACTCAGTTGTGGCAAAACTCATAAGTATTCAAACAGCTGCAAGGAGCCTGCTCTGAGACGAGAAGATTATACACTGCTAGCAGAGGCATTATTTTGCCCATCCTCCTCATTCCCTTGGGGTTTGACACCTGTTTGTCAGAGATTACACATATAGACTTACTGTTTCGTTGGTAAACATATGCTTTTCCTTCACAATAAGAAGACTATGAAGAAAATGATACAGAGGCCTGAAATAACTTTGGAGATCATTAGATAGCCATGAGTTTAATTCTCTCAAAATGGTCTGTTTGCCTGAGGATCCTCTAGACTTTTTCTGAGACTAGAATTCACATGTTTGTTCCACATGTTTGTCCTACTCTAAACTTTTCTTGACTTCTCATAGCCTTCAAATGCCAATCACATTGTTCAGATTCCAAACCATCCCACTCTTGTTTACTGAAACCTATCAACCCAGTATCTTACATATAAGTCCCTAGAAACCCCTGCCTCCTCCCAGACTCCAGGATCATGCTTCAAAGATCTCAAATTCAAATTATTGTATGTAAGAGAGGCAAGTTTCTGTCATCAAATATTGCGACAGGCAATAAGCAAGGTATGGATTGAAAAACTGGAGGATGAGGAGAGGGTAGCCTGCAATACAAACTTCAACATGAGGGTATAAAGTTTGCCAGGGAAAGACACAAAGGTAGGGATGTTATGAAGCTAAAAAATAAGATTAAGATTATCTAGTTCTGGAAAACATAATTCATTTCAAATATTGTTGGGTGGAATCTTTTAAAGAAGTTTACATCATTTTTATTTGAATGTGTAGATTCTTTTCAAATAAATATATAGAATTTTAAAAATTATACCACTGAAGAACTTCATCAGAGTGGTTTGGAATGGAAAGTAAGAC